GCCCGCGCCGCGCGCGCGCCCCCGGCCCCCCCATCCCCTCGGGGTGGGGAGGGATAGGCCGTGAGGCGGTCCCCAATCCGCGCCCTCCGCCGTACGGAGCGACAGGCGGCTTCGCCAATGGGAGAGAGGTATTGGACGGCCGCGGATAGTGACAAGGGCGGCTACCCAATCGAATGCGCGGGTACGGACGGGGCGGGGACGAAGGCGCCGGCGGGGGCGGGTAGATATGCGACAGCGTTGGCCTATGGGTTTCCCTCGGAAAGAGAATGACACGGCGGCTGTCCAATGATGTGAGGAGTCCGTCTGGTCGGGGCGGGGGAAGGCAGGCTGATTGACAGGCCGGGTAACTATGGCAACGCGGGAAGGGGCCGAAGGGAAGACCGCAGTAGGCCCGCTTGGGCTGGGCCGCGCCTCGCCGCGCCGCGCCGGGGGGTGGGTTGGACGCTGCTTTGCATACGATTTGCATATGCAGATAGCGAGGCCCCCTCATTCCCTCACTGTGGGGCGGCTCTGCGGCCCCCAGGCCCCCCACCGTATCGGGTCTGCGCCCCACGGCCTCCCCCACGGCCCTCCCTCGGTGGCTGTGCCAGGTCGGCCTGGGGCCATTGAGGCCTGGGGCCTAAACCTCCTAAACTCGCCCTCCTCCTTCATTTGCCGTCTCTGGGAAGCTCAAGACTGCCGCCGCCGATGCTGCCTGTGAGGACGCTCTGTCCCAAAGGCGTGCTTGAAGGCGGCGTCTTCGGAGGCTGCCTCTCCGGGCCACATTACGGGCACGAATATGAAGTGAAACAAAATTGGATGTTTCTGAGCTCGACACGTCCTGGAGGACAACTAGTAGGGCTACAGCCTTGTTGGGGAGAGCTAAGGTTTCCCTCCTACAGAGAAAGAGACAAACAGCAGAAAGAAGTCCCGCTCCCCTTCATGAGGCCTCAGAGATGAGGCTGGACCCAAACTCCCTCTTCCAGGGAGGGCAGATCAAAACACTTGAGTTCTCCAAAGATCTTGCAAGCATAGTAGAAAGGATGGACACAACAAAATGGGCACCAAGACAGGAGGTTTAGGAGGAGAGACAATGAAACGAGGGTCAAGGCTTCAGCATACATTCAGGCCCAATCCTGGGCTTCCCTATATGTCACAATGTAATTTAAGTGCTGATACATCTTATTCTCTGAACTCTGACCCTACCTTTATCAATGCTGAGCTAACAACTGCAGCAGTAGCCATCCAGGCAGCAGAAAAATTGAGGCGACCTTAAAGAGGGGTGCAAGCAACGATCAACAGGATGACATCCAAGAAGAAAAACTGACTCCCAGATTATATCATGCTGTAACAGTTCCCGTTGTAACAAGACAGAGGTTCCTAGGTGGAATGTTAATTGATGTCTAACATACCTAGAGCATGGCCAAGCATGTAACTGCAGCCCAGTGACCCATGGTGCTCTTCACCTGCACCGCGTTAATCTCAGCTCACCGCAATCCTCAGGCATTAATTCGATACCAAAGGGATAAGTGACCGACATTGAAAAAAGGTGTCATAATTTCACTAAGAATTTGCTGAATTCTGGTTGCTGTGGTGAAAACAGGGCAAAGGGATTGGTCAGATTTAAAATTATACAGACTAATATCCTGTTGGGCAAGTGCAGAAAGCATACAAATGGTGTTGGTGCTGATACAAGATGAAGCATAACCTCTTTGAAGAAAAATAACCTTTCTTCATAAAAGCATTGCCTTCATTTTGTTAAAAAACAAACTCGCTGAGCTTCGCTGCCTGAAGTTCAGAGTATTGTCAATACCAAGCCCTGAATGCGTTTCATATACCTGGGTCGTAAGTCAAGAGCTCTAGCTGGGAAAGCAGAAAGCGAGGAGAGCTAGTGGGATGTCTCAGCTGTGAATACACAGCAGAGCCCTTGGGAGCCTCTTCTTTAAAAGGCAGAGCGCATGTAATGCTACTGAAAAGGGCTGTTTCCTTCATGCTGCTCAAAAGCTTCCTGCCTGTCCCCAAAAGGCGTACGCTGCAGGCCGGCTCACCCCTAGGGCTCCCTTGCCAGCACCGGGTGAGCTGGAGCCAGGCACAGCGGCAGGTTTGGTGACGTTGGTATCTCTTTTCTGCAGGTCAGGCCAAGCCCAAAGCTGCTCAGCAGACGGGGTGCAGTACCTGGGCAGCAACCACTGCTGCTGACTGCATGCCAGAGCTGATCCCAGCGGGGCAAAGGTGGCCCAGCTCCTTTTTCTGTGCAGGATCCCAGGATCTGACTGAACCAGACAATCTAGGAGAATCTGGATCATCAAGAAGTGTGAGCATTGTGCTGGGCTTGGTGCATACTGTCCACCTCAGCAAACATCTGCTCATGGTGCGCACGTGGTTACATCCAGTCCCTTCCCTCCCAGCCTGCCACCGCTCAGCCACAGCTGTCTATAGCCCTATTGCTCCCAAACACTCTTCTAGCTCGAAACATTTTGCAGCTCAGACCTTTGCTTAAAAGCCTTTGGTGCGTTTCTCTTTCCAGAACTTGGTCAAGTTCCTCTTTGGCAACCACAACATCCTGAGGACACGACTTCTGCAGCTCAGCTATATGCTGCATTGAGAAACACCCTCCCCGACTTTGTCTTGAACCTGCCCTCTGGGCTTTCTATGACCTGCCATGGTAGGCATCCTCTAGACCAGGACCTGTGCTCGCTCCGAAACAAGGTCTGGAAACTGTCCCCAAATCTTGTCCCCCTCTTCCTGATACAGACTGATGGCCTCAGTCTCACTGTGTCACTGTGCCAGTAGTGCCCTTCAAAGCATTTCCTCTAGCAATGGTTTCATAAACCTCCTGCTCAAGACCCTGGCACAGATCCAGATGTCACTGTAAGCAAGAGAGAGGGGTTTATCTGCCCCTTTCACCAGAGGACCGCAGATTCGGTGGTTCTTGGCACTGTCTGAACCTACCCCCAAACCCTGGGAGGTCACCTCTAGTCTCTGGGATGCTGGAACAGGAGGTGTCACCCCGACATGCTCAGCATGCTACTCCTAAAATCGAAGCAAGGGTCTTACAAGAACTGGCTGCCCAGGGGCAGGCCAAGGAGGAGGAAGAGGCGAGGAAGCCGAATTTCTGGCAGACGCTCCTCAATACGCAGGCAAGCGTTCTCCAAGAAATCCAAATGCAGCTCCACAGCAAGGGAAACCATCCAACTCCCACGGATAGAGTTTGCTTGGAATTGTATATGGCAAAAGTTCTACAAACAGCCTTTTCTAAAAGCACCTGTCTTCTTAAATAGGAAAACCAAGGGGCATGAACTGCTGCAAGCCTCCCCAGAAAAGCAGAGGAGGGCTGTTTGTATTCTTCTTTGCAGCCTCCACTCCCTAAGCAGGTAAGTTAGGTGATTTAATTCTCCAGCCAACTTCTGTGGGAAAACTTTCCTTGTTCCACAGAGGCTTCAAAAGCTGAGATGCATCCCCCTCATCTTACAAACACACATGGCAACCTCATAAGTTGAGTGTGAAGTGGCAAACAATTTTATTATACAGTTAGTAAAAGGCTTTTTTTCTTTTTTTAAAATATGTGCAGGGACACAGTTCCCTCCTGCAGGTTCACCTGCTGATTATGCTTTTAAAGGGCTACATTACAACTGTGAAAATACCGGCACTTCACAGCAGAAAACTGAACATATGCTTTTATCGAGTCTGAAGTGGTGATAAACCAGCTGTTTCATAAGAGCAGTCTGATGTGAAAAGGCAAAGCGTACAAGCCATCGCTAAAAAGGAGTGGGAAAATATGTGAAGGATTTTGCAGGTGGTAAAGCAACAGAGAAGAGGGCCTTGGTACGGATGCTGCTGGTTTGGGATCTCACGGACATCCTCTGAATCACGCAAAAAGCGCGTGGAGAAGGCACGTGCCCCCTCTCATTAATGAATTTTGGGATGGATCCCACAGTGTGGTTATGCAGGCTCACGTACTCTGCTTTACGATACGTATTCTGCTTTATTTTGGTGCAATATTCAGTAGTAAACACGAGCCTTTTAACAAGGTGAAAGGATTTAGGGACATTTCCTTACCCACTGCAAATAAAGAGCAATTCTTAGTGCTCAAAACTGCAACTTTCACAGGGAGGTGACAGGTCTCTACAAAGCCCTCACTGACAAAATTACGAAAGCTGAGGAAAAAAACCATCTTACTGGGGACTGCTGAATCCCGGGTTCTCTTCCCTGCCTGCGGGAGATTTTGGACAAGTCACCACGTTATCTTCAAATGGGGTCAAGAGAAGTCAAGTGTATTTAAAAGCACTGTCCCTTCCTCTGACAGATAAAGCGCTGGGCACTGAGCAAGCAATGAACACCTCAAGTTCACCTAGAGAGCAGCCCTGTCAGATCAAAACCAACACCTCACTATTGCACATATTTATTGTCCTTATCGTTTAAGGGAGGCACTTCTTGTATTTTTGGGCAAAGGGAAAGCGTTAGGAGGGAGGAGCAGCCGTTCGCCCTGTCGCAGGGCTGACGGATCCTTCCCAGCGCAGGCCAAGCTCTGGGCATGATGGCTGCACTTTGCAGCCAGGCACCAGGGCCCTCGTCTCCCTCCTGCTCCCCTGCCAGCAGGAAGGTCATATTTTGTGAAGCTGTGCCAAACGGCAGGAATCCAGGAGGAATAAGTTACTGCCCACAATAAAGCAGGGAAGAAGCAACAGCCTGGATTAAGAGTGCAGCCCAGCCACCAGCACCAGGCCGCTGCAACAGTTTAAAGCCCACGGCATCCTTGTGGGCTTGCCGGATTCAAACCATGCCAGCCCATGGCACAAACCTTCTGCTGTGCAAATCCACCAGCAGATCACCAAATGTTTTGCCCAGTCCTGCCTCCTGCCACAGCTCCCCTGTTGCCCCCCAACAAATCACGGGAGGGCAGGAACACCTGAAAGTCTGCACTGGCATCTTTAGGGCTTAAAGAAAAAAGAATCCTCTAGCTGCAAGAACTGTTTAACTACAAAAAAAAGTAGTTTTGTTACTTTGGTACCCCTGTGCTTTTGGGAGGGAGTAGATGAGATGGCGAACAACCTGCAGCCGCAGCAACAGAAGAAGTGGGCAGCACAGTTGGTGATCACTGAACTCCGCCTTGAGCTAGAAATGCGTACCAACAGCGACTGAGCAGGGCTGCTTCTGCTCCCAAAAAGCTGCCCTGGGCAGGGAGGAGCTGGGGATATTTATTTGGGTTTGAGGATTTTATCTTAGAAGACTTGCAGCCCAATCCCCTCGCATTCCGAGCTGATCCCTGGGGATAGCAGGGAAATTACAGACTGCAATTTTAAATGGGACCTTCAAGATAACCCAGAGCATGTCAACCACCGCATGTGGCCTCCCTGCAGCGTGCAGAGTCAATCCTATTTGTGTCCCAGCCTGGACGCAAGTTTCCTATATTCCTATCCCATAGCACCAGGTATCGGGAAAAGCGAGAACTACATCCACTCTCCTAGCCAGGCTCTAAAAATTCAGCCTGAAGATCAAAGACGCTCAACAATCCTGTGTGGGACCAAGTCCGCTTAATGCTAGCATTGTGTGAAATGTTCCTCTTAAAGCATAATCCCACTTTCCCTGGCTGGAGGGGGGTGAAATGAGGTTGATCCTTGAGAAAGCTGGTTAGATGCGGCTCTTTCCTGACCCTCAGCTTCATCTCCAGGGTGTCAGTGCTGCATGAAGTGACCCCAGAGCCCATCCCTGACCCTCAGGAGCAAGGGAGGATGCTCCAAAGCAAAGCACCGAAGCGGGACAACAGCTCCTGGGAGAGGGGACAGCTTGGACATGGTCTGGCCTGGCGCATTCTCATCATGGGAGTCTCTCTTGTCACGAATGAGCAGAAGGCAGTGTGACTTACTGCACTGGGGTCCTGCCTGCGCACCCAGCACTGGCAGAAAGGAGCAGCAGAGATGAGCAAAGGTCCCAGCAGCAGAGCCAGGGACACCAAGTAAGGCAAATTCAACATGAGGCACCTGGTGAAGGCTGCTGCACAGACCCTCTGGTATGTTTTGAAGCTGAGATAAGGAGCCTTTACAGGATGTCTGCAAAATCTGTCCTCACTGCACTGTCCAGAGGGACCAGGGTGGGGGTCACCTTTTGGACCACCAGGACATGTTTCCCTGGGGCCTCCTGGGACCAAACAAGGAAGATGTGGAGGATTGCCAAGAGGACTTTCTTTTTTGACTCAAGGGATCACTCCCTGAATGAGACCTTCTCTATGGGTGTAAAAGGAGAAAGCTACAGACAAGAAGATGGCTGGGAAACGGAGGGGGAACAGACCCAAACCCAACAGCATCATGCAACCAAGGCCTCTTCCAGCAAAACCTTCCAGAAAGGGATTTAACAACGCCCCTACTGTGCCCCCCCACTGCTCTTTAGGCTTCAAACGCCTTGGCCAAATTCCTGCTAGGAAGAGGAATCGCCCAGGCTGAGTGACGGTCATGGCATCCCATCCACTCCAGCGCTATTTCTGCAATCGAGCGTACACCAGAAACGCCACAGCTGAAATCACAGCGATGCCCACAGCTGGAACGATGTATAGTAGGGATGGTCCGTTGCTGTCCCCTGGGGAGACTTTGGCCTGAGATGAGCTGGTCACAGTGTCATGGCCCCTGCTCGAGTCAAAAACTTGAGAATTTCCAAGGGGACCAGCTCCATCTTGGAGGTCGTTGTCTGCCCTGAGCTGGGCACAGGGGTAATGGTCCACACGGACCTCGTGGGTGCCCAGGGAGGTGCTGTCCCAGCTCGGAGGCAGACGGGAGTCTCTGCTTGCTCCAGCTGCCTCATCTCCCCCAGGGTCTTCATGAGCCACTGGAGCCGGGCATCCCAAGGAGACTCTGGAGAGCACTTCTCCTGAACTCGAGCTATCTGTGCTCACCATGAGTGGGTCGCTGCTGAAGGTGAGCCTATTGGACGACCCGGAATAGGGGCCGCTGGGCCCCTGAGAGCTTTGGCATCTGCCGGCCGCCTCTGGGCTCTCCTCAGCCTTGGAGAGGAGGATGCCTGGCTTGCTGAGCTCCACATCACTCTCCACGTTGCTGCAAGGTGCCCAGATGTTCGTGGCAGAGCTCACCCGGGATGCTGTCCTCCCAGATGTGCCTTCAAAGCCTCCCGCAACAGTTGGGAGAGGGTCTGCCGAGGTCGGGAGCACCTTTGGGAGACAACGAGAGGGGCTGGGTGCTACGGGGAGCACCCATTTGGCCTGGTCTCGGGCACCCACGTCACACGATAAGCCCACTTCTGTGCTAACCACCACATCTCCAGCCACTAACAGCGAGGCTGGGTCACAGGTAACTCCCAGGGCTGGGAGAGGGAGTGGGGCAGGGAGGTATTGGGGCTCCAGGGAGCCTTTGGGATTCGGGGGGAATATGGGAAGAAAGGAGGGGGAGACAAACAGTGAGGAGAGGGATGGAAGCAGGCACCTGGAAGCCAGGAGACTGACTAGCAAGTCAAGGAGAGGAAATAAGGAGTCAAAGCCCAAAAAACCTTGGTTCCCTTCTCCCATGCTCCAAAATATAGCATCCGGATGGGGACACGAACATAGGGGGAAAAAAGCCCTGAATAAACTCGCCACCAGCTCAAAAAATCTTACACTGCAGCACAAAATCTCTCAACCAGGGGGAGTTCGCAAGGACCTGAATGAAATGCAAATGGCAACGGGAAAGGTCACCTACTTTCTCCTTCGTCAGCACGGAGGGGGTGCTGCTGGCTGTCTCCCCAGTGGGCAGTTTCCTCTCTTGCACAGGAGGCTTCAGGGAGGTGTCCCAGGATGGGGCAGCATCTCTGGATGCAGGGGTAGTGATTGCGGTGGCTGTTTCCATCTGAGTGTCTGCCAGGGAGAAAAGAAAATGTATTGCATTAATCAGGAGACCTAAAAGGTGAGTTTTGCTCTTCCCCAAGGATGCTGCAACAGGATACTCCCACTTCCACGGCAGGTTGTGCGCCTGCGTTTACAGGTTTTCATCTTTTTCCTCACAAATCCGTGTTAATTTGCACAGCAGCGGCGACTGCAGCCTGGGGCAAGTCCAGGACACGGGCGAGGGATCCGAGCCACAGCACAGCCCAGAGCTGAGGAGGTCGGACTGAGGAGGTTGGACTACGTGCTGCCTGTATGGCCCTGGCTCTGCTGTGGCACATGAGCTCTCCTGGCAGGTAAACCAGACGGCACCAGCCAAGCCAGCACCCCCAATCTGTTCCTCCCTTCGAGAGCAGGGTGACCCCAAGGTTGCTGAAATGGGGATGCAGAGGCATTTAACTGGGTCATTTTACATCGGAAATGAAGCAAGTGCCTCTGCCAAGTACCGGTCAGGACGTTGTGCCAAAATACAGCGAGCAACAACTACTGGAGGGAAAACCAGGGGAAAACAAGCAGCCAGGCTGGATTTCTGCACAACCCAACCTCGCCCCCTGCCTGGAGGTCACTGCGGCCCAGGAGATGGGTGAAGACAGCAGAGAGCTGTTCTCTACACCTCTATGAGTGCTCATGGGTCACAAAGGCAGACACAACCTTGGGGTGTCCTGTACCAACAGCTACAGCTACCACCGTTCTTTGGGAGGGTCCCCATGGCCTCCCGGCAGGGCTGTATCCCATGCCCGCACCTTCTCTGCCACTCTCCATCCTCAGCATCAAGCAGGACAGGCGTCCGGCAGCACCTTCAACCCTGTTCCCTGTTGGCACAGTGGCTACACAAAATTGCCAGGAAGGAAACCTACCTCCATCTCCTCTGTCCTCTCGCAGCTTCCCGACCCGCTTCTGCTCTGCATCGAACTGCTGCTGTATGAGGAGGGGGCTGCGCACATCCACAAAGCTGCCCGGGGGCTCGCTGTGCTCAGAGCCAGGCACAACCTGTTTTTTTGGTAGTGAATCTGGGGGCTGTGGCCCCCCACTGTGAGCAGTCTCCTCCAGCCTCGGGGGTGACTCAGTGGAGACATAGAAGTCCTCTTCGGGCTCGTTCCTGGGCTGCTTGGGGCTGCGAGCAGAGCCCGTATCCCTCGGCGGAAGAGACCTGCCCAGACCCAAGCCCGGCGCGCCGCGGTGCAGGTGGTTGGCGTTCCCAAAACACCCGTTGTCCACACACACCGGGTGCTGCTGGCGGCTCAGCCAGTCCCGGCCCCGCTCAGGGGGGGCAGTCGATGGCACGGCCACACTGCCTGCCCTGGGGGTCCCCGCTGCCACCTGCGTGACCTCAATGGGGCGCGGGAAATGCCCCTCTCCACTGTGCCCATCGCTCGCTCCATCATGGACCGCGGTCCCAAGAGGAGGCGGCTGGAGACTCTCTTGCTCCAGGTTTTTGGGGAGCTGGAAAGAAATGACCTGTGTTAAATTGCTGTGCCAGGATGACGGGGTCTGGGACCACCGGGGTGCCTCAAACCCTTACCCAGTGACCTACACAAGCCTGGTGATGAGGGGGTCTCTCCTCAGCACCCACCGCACAGCTCGCAGGTTTGCACGGGGTCAGGGGCTGTGGAGGAGAGCCCGAACTAACAGAGTGGACCCTGCACTCCCATCCACGGAGGGGAAGCAGGAGAGAGGAGAAGTTATAGGGCCGTATATAGGCTATCAGATGCCAGACACGGCAAGCACACAGCAGAGATCAGCAGTCAGAGGCTGCGTGGGGTGTCCATGAATGAGCCTGGCCCTACCATGGGCTCCCCACACCCCACAGCACCAACACTCCGGTCCAAAAGGGACCTTTGTGTCCCCATCTGATGCGTGCCCTGCTCACCGATTCCTGCACCGGGGCCCTGGCATCCAGGTCCGTGCTCGTGGTGGTGGCAGCACTGGGCAGAAGCAGACGGCTGCCAGCAGGCAGGTCTTGGTGTGGCTGGTCAGTCAACGGGGCGCCTGGAGCAGGGTTCGGCCCCGGGGATGGCGTCTGGGCACTGATGGAAGAGACATTGGGACGGGGATCGCTGGCCGCAGGAGGGAAGAAGGCGACGGCAGGAGCCGGGGAACCTGGAGGAGCCAAGGCAGTTCATGAGCAGGGACGTTGGGGGAAAAGCCGAGGAGGCAGAGGACGAGCACAGGGCCGAGGCAGCCCCTCACGTGCCCCTGCTCTGTCCCCACATTGCCCAAGCCCACAGCACCCCTTCATTTATCTTTCCATCTCCACTCCAGGTGAGAAACCTAGCCCACCACCAACCCAAGCACCTTCGAACGAGGAACCCGCCTTCCTCAGGCACATCACCAGGATGAAGGACATCTCTGGGGACACCCCAAGGACACCCCCAGACCCCCTGGGAAGCCAAGGCAGGGAGAGAGGCCAGCTGCTTGGTGGACACCAGGAGACGTGGTTCGGGTCCCCATCTCCACCAGACCCCCTGGGCAGCACCCAGGGATGACGAGGCTACATACGGCCCTGCCAGCTGTCATATACACGCTGCAGCTCGTCGGCCAGGTGCCCCGCGTTGTTCTGGCGCAATGCGTCGATGAGATCCGGCACCCAGCCTTGCCGGCACTTCAGGTGCTGGTAAAACTTATAGACGGTCGCCTGGCTCCCCCGCATTTCCTCCCGGGTGTGAAGTTCATCCTAAATAAAACGTATGGCATCTAAGAGAGGGTCTGGCTTAGAGGTAAGGCAGCTGTACGTTGCCTGAGCTCTAAGCTGGGGAAGGAGCCCAGCAGGACTTGGGAAAGCAGGGAATTACTCTGTCGGCATCGGTCAGGCAGCTCAGAGAATCGGCCAGCGACGCCACACGGATGTTCCTGAAATTCTTGAGGTTTTTCAAAATGTAGTCGTACACTTTGTCTTCGGCAAAACCCATCCTGCCTCAGCCCCTGCCAAGAAAGAGAGAGAGATTGAACGTGAGTGGAGGGCTGCTGGTAACGCTTGGCTTTTCTATAGGAACCTGGGCTTCTCCATAGGGGCCTGGGCTATTCTATAGGAGGCTGGGCTTCTCCATAGGGGCCTAGGCTATTCTATAGGGGCCTAGGCTATTCTATAGGGGCCTGGTCTTCTCCATAGGGGCCTGGTCTTCTCCATAGGGGCCTGGGCTTCTCCATGGGAGCCAGGCCCCTCGGCACTGACGCTCAACCTCGCCGCAGCAATCGGTGCAGGGGGAAATCCTGGGTGGAAAACAAGCAAAGAAAAAACACTCAGGTTAAAGTCCCACTCTCGGCCTTGCTTTCACAAGCCTAATTCCCGTCTGCCGTTGCCCGGCCCGTGTTTATTCCCGTCCGCTTTGCGGCCGGGTGGATCCCAGCCCCGGGGGTTTTCCGTCACGGCGCAGGGTCACGCCGGGCGAAGTAGGCCGAGGCGGGGAGCCTGCTTTAGGCCCTGGGAGACGCGGCTTCTCGCCGATGGAAAAGGATAGCGGAGGGAAAGAGAAGAAAAGCTCCTTCCCCCGGGATAACGGCGGCCCGGGA